AACAGAGACGTCTCGGTTGACGTTTCTGTGTAGTATGGGGCTAGCCCAACCGAGGGGATATAATGTATAGGCCTGGTGGGTTCAGGGTCTTTCATCTTACATCTGCCTGCGAGCAGTTTGGAGGTGCAAGATACCTGAGCGTGTAATGTTAATTCTACCTGTGATCCTTTGAACAAATCAGCACTGTTTTGAAGTTACTTGGACTGTCTCGTCTCTCAGAGTTAGCAATGGTAACAAGAGCCATAGTCCTACAAATTGTAGAGCGACACACAAGCTCATAATTGCTCACAACACCGTGGGTCACTCGTGTAGCCTACAATGTAGGCTCCACATAGATTCAATGCAGAACCATGAATCAAGTTTAACACTGCATTAACATTTTTGCTGTTTGATTTGAATCTGTTATTAATGAATGTTGCAAAAATGGCTCAAACAAGTATTTTATCAGAAGGCCTGTGTAAATGTTATAAAACCTTGCTGTAAGTCAGGTTCTCAAGGAATACAAAAATATTTTGTTAATCATTTATTTGGAGTTAATGACTTATCAGACAGCACAGTAGGGTAGCTTGTGCTACTGCCAGTTCTAAAAGAACAAACACTTGAATTATCCTCTCTAACAGAAAACTAAACCCAAAAAGACTTTGAGGAAAACAGACAATCTGACAGTGACTCCAGAGAGACCGGATCAACGACACTACCCACAAAGGGAAGCACATAGTTATACAGTGTGTCATTAAGAGCCAAACACACATGGACCACAGCAAGAGATGGGGTGAAGGGCTCCCCAACCAAAGCCAGGAACCTCTGTCCTGAACACAGAGACAGCTCTGGTGCCTGGGAATGGCCTGCTCTCAGAGGTCCAGGACTGGAAGCTGGTCCCACACAGAGGAATGGACTGTTGCGTGGCCTTGTCTTTGTGGGCATCTTCTTTTTCTTGGATGCTGTTCTTAGAGTCATCCCAAAATGCATTTAAACCTCTCTGTTCAGCAAAACTAACTTTTGAGCAGGTGAAGTGTCTGCTAGGTCTACCAGTCTTTCTCAGCTGTTTCCCGAAGCTGACTGGAACACAAAGCCACTTCTCAGCTCTTCTTCGCCAACATCTTCACGGTAATAGGCTGCAACAGACAGAGGAGCCTCAGTTTATTCTGCATTTTAAAGGTTCTTTGTAGATACATGTGCTATGAAGCATCACTTTATAAAAAAATGAAGTGGGCTCTCACTTCTGGTCAGACTTTAGATGGACTCCAAATCATATGCACAAATAAAACTGTCTTTGACTTTGAATCAGTGACTTCATTCAGACATTCTGCAGTATCAGGCACTTTACTTACTCCACTTTCACAGAAGAAATGGCTTCGTTATAACTGACTGAATGCAGCATATTGTTATGAACACACTCAGCAGCCTTTCAAAGAAGAGAAGGCTATGTGATGTATAGAGCCGTGGTAATTACGTTTGCTGAATATCTATTGACTGTGCAGTGAAGGCCTTGGTGAAGCACTGCGACGGTGGCTGTCAGTCACACTGTGAGGTGCCGGGTGCTGACCTACCTTGCTGCAGTAAGGACACTCTCCAAAAACAATGTTGAAGCTCTGCCTGCTGGAGGGCAGTGCTCTCAGCCACTGAAGGAAAGAGAAAAAGACTTCTTCATCACAGTATTACCTTGGATCTGATGTGCCAGTGTCAAGTGATAACACTTGTTTCAATGTGCACTTATTAGTGCACACTTTAAAATGTATATTCAAGATTATCTGACATTTTGAAGCATTGAGAATGCCCTATTGAAGTCTCCTAGCAGTGTTTCAACTGGTAACATTTCTCAGTGGTGCCTTGCCACACCAAAATCTTTGCCGCCATGGCTA